CCCCCCCCCCCCCCCCTTCGCACACCACAGAGACCCGCTTCGGTGATTGAGGGAGACGATCATAAGAGAGGAGCAGCGGGGAAGGTGCAAGCATAAGGTGCGCAATGAGTAAACGGCATCGCAGTGGGGATGTGGAGACGGCGCGCCATGCCATTACGTTGATCTGTCAGCGCCCCGCAAAGAGTACAGAGTTGGAGGCGGTCACACTAACACCGCTCGAGAAGCAAGTGGTAAGTCTCAAAGAGTCCATTCCAGCGGATGTACTGCTGATGGTGGCCTGCGGCTATCGCGTAAAGTACTACGGCCGCGACAGTCGCGTTGCGAGTCGCCGACTGGGCATAATGTGCATTCCCACAACCCCGTTCGAATCAAGCAGTATACCGTACGTTCGTGTCAATCTGTATATTCACCGACTTGTGGCGATGGGATACCGTGTAGCGTTTGCCGATCAAGAGAACGCAGCGATTCGCGCGACGAGTGGGAGTGCCAAAGGTATCTTTACCCGAGAGATCACGCGAGTGTATAGCCGAGGGACGCTACTGCCATCTGAGGTTATTGGTGGCACGAGTCCTGCTGATGCCGTTACTGGTGCGGGCAATGCTGCCAGTGCTGATCAAGGGGACGGTACGGAGGGTGCGTCGGAGGACGATGGGCCTGTTGCCGATGGATTGTGGGGCCCACTGAAGGAGGAATCCTCGGAGCTGTTCATGTGTTTTGTTTACTCCCCGTCGTTGGGAAGTGCGGTGATGGAGATGACGCTTGTAAGCTTCGTCCGATATTGTGTGACACGCCATCGCATCACCTCAGAGGCTGAGCTTATGGACGTTCTGCACCGCCACGACATTGTGGAGGTGATTATCTTCCACGAGCTTCCCCAAGACGTTATGCGAAGTGGTGAAAATTCATTTTGTACCTCGTCTTCGTCGTCGCTTTCAGCTTTACGTCGCCTGCCGGAGGCATACGCCTCTGCATTGAGTGTAGTTCTGCCGCTGCATTTCGGTCCTACGTGCAACGGGGAGGAAGACGACCGTTCTGTGTCTGTGTCTGTGGCTGCCTGGACTGGATCGATGGATGAGTCTATTATCAGTAGCCTTGTGCCGTACAGGCTTGATAAAGTTTATGCAAAGATGTGTGCTACGGGCGAACGAATACCGTTTCTGGAGAGCGTCACGGACGCCAAAATTAATCAAACAATGGACCTGCCAGGCAGCACACTCAGCGCACTCGACATCTTTACCAGCAGTATCGGTATCAGGGGATCTCTGTTGGCTTTGCTTGATCACAGCCTCACTGTGGCCGGTGCGCGGCGGTTGCGCACGTGGCTCGCTGCGCCGCCTTGTGACGTGGACACTATCATGTCGCGCCGAGACGCCGTTACACTTTTGGTTCGGGGTGAAGAGGGCGATGCTGTTTTGAAATTTCTGCGGGAATGCGCTAAGTTCGGCGATATTGAGGCGACACTGGGAAAGTTGCATGCGCAGCGCTGCACTGTTGCAGAATACCTGCACCTGCTTCGGGCAGTAAAGACGGCACATAGCCTGGCGACTGGCCTCCTCTCGCGTAGTGATGGGAGTTTAAAAGGTCTCATCCAAGACATACTGTTGAGTATCACTTCAACCCACGTAAGTGGGACTCTGGAGTCGTGTCGGTATGAAGTGGACTCCCTCGCAGCGTCCCCGTTAGAGTATTTTGTGGCGCTTGGTGAGCCGCTCCCCCCCGCTATGCAAACGCACGTGGAGACCCGCGACGAGGCGCTCCGTGCCCTTGATAAAGAATTGGAGTGTATTCGTCAGATGTTGCGAATGCCGGCGTTGGAGTACCGTACGATTGCGGGCACAGCTTTCATCGTGGATGTGCCGCAAGCCATGTCAAGTCGTGCACCGAAGGATTGGCTGGTGCTGACAAGAACAAAGTCTCATGTTCGCTTTCACACACCGAAAATTATAGATCTTAATGTTCAGCTCTGCTCAGCAAGGGAGCGCCTTATTGTCGCGGCGAATGCTGCATGGCAAACGAGGCAACAACATGTGGCGGAATGTGCGCCCACTATGCGAGTCTTTCGTGACGTTATTGATGCAATTGCGGTCCTAGATGCCCTTTACTGCCTTGCCGTGACATCTTCCGCCCCTGGTTACGTTGCCCCTGAGCTCTCAGGACACGCAAAGTGTGTAACAATCACTGGTGGCCGCCACCCAGTACTTGATAGTGTAATGCGTGGCCGGTATGTTGGCTGTGATGTGGAGCTGATAAAAGGAGGTGCGTGGATCCTGACGGGCCCTAATATGGGTGGTAAGTCTGCACTCATGCGCATGGTGGGCACGTTCGTTGTTATGGCGCAGTTGGGTTGCTACGTGCCGGCAACAGCGGCTCAGCTACCAGTGTTTACGGCAGTGTACTGCCGCATGGGTGCAAGCGATTCTATGCTCGAGGGTGCCTCCACATTTCTGAAAGAGATGGAGGAGACAAGCCGCATTCTTCACTCATCATGTCTCTCCTCTTCGCTGGTGCTGTTGGATGAGTTGGGGCGAGGCACAAGCAGCTTTGACGGTATCGCTGTAGCTGCAGCAACACTGGAGTACCTCCTTAAGCATGGATCTACCACGCTATTCGTGACGCACTACTCGCAGCTGTGTGAGCCGTACGCCAATGCCGACCCTGGTGGACGTGTGGCCTGCTATTACATGGGTTTTCGCGAAGAGAAGCAGGATGACGCAGATGGAGGAGAAATCAATCTTGTATTCACATACAAGCCGACGCCTGGCGTGACACCGTCGAGCTTTGGTGTACGGGTTGCGAAGATGGCAGGGTTGCCGTCTGAAGTTGTGGCGGAGGCACAGCGGCGGAGTGAGAGTGAGGAAAAGGTTCACCTGGGGCGTGTGGCATTGATGCAGGTGCGCCATTTTCTTGGGGCTTCCACTTGCTGAAGCTCGTGTGAATTTCATGGAAGTGGGGCCACGTTTATTCACGTTAAAGTGAACTCTGTCTATTTCATTCTTGTTGTGTGTAGGCATGTGCTGGTGTGTTTTTTGGGGGGATTTCTTTGTGTGGTCATATCTCTTGGCCTTTATTTTCCCCTCTTTTTTCTCCTCTATGTTGGGAAATTGTATCTGTATCTCTGCGTGTCTGTCTCTCTCTCTGTGTGTGTGTGTGTGTGCCGTTCAGTCATTGCAAGAGTTATATATACATATATTAGGGGTGGAGATGATCCCACTCTACGTGTATGTCATTTTTAGCCTCGTGATGCCGGTTCTGTTTCTGTTGGATTATGCAAGTGTGTACCACGAGTACTTTACGACCGTAGTTGAGCTGACGAACTCACCCGTGTTCCGCCTGCTGTGTGTAAATGGCTTTGTCGCAGCCACACTCGTGTTGTGGCTCATCGCATGCAAGATATTCTTTGGGAAATTGGCCCACGCTGAGAAAGATGTAGTGTGGAAAATGTTCCCCTTGTACATCACAGAGTGCGTCGTCCGGCCCTTTTACTTTGGCGTCTCTATCTTCAGCACTGTCGGCGCGGTCTCGCTACTCACAGTGGTGTCGGGGCTGCTGCACAAGCTTGCACAAGAGCGCGTCACAACGCTTCACATTGTCGAGAACCCAATGCTGCGGCTGCGTATGCTTCTCGGGTTGATGTTGTTTTTCGTGCTGGCAATGCCATTGGACCTCTACATTGTGTTCGATGTACTGTTGGAGACGTCATGGCACAGCGAGGCCTTTATGAATCTGTACTACTGCACCGCCGTGTTGTACCTGCAGTTTGCCCTTTCCAACGTAAAGTTTGTAGTACGACTTCTTTTTGCGGAGGTGATTGGCGAGGCGAACCACAGTGGGCTCGCGTTCTACATGGAGTTGTCCTTCTCCCTCCTCAAAAGCTTCATTTTCTTCGTCTCCTTCGCGTACGTATGCGCCGTGTCACGGCTGCCGTTGCCACTCTTGCGGGTGCTCTTTCACCACATCGCTGCCTCCATTGGGAGGGTCCGAAGCCTTGTGCGCTACAGGACGCTGACAAAGTTTGTGAATGCCATTCAAAATGCAACCGCGGAGGATATCGCCCGCGACACACGTTGCGTCATCTGCTACGATGATATGACGCCACAGCAAAACTGTAAGCAGCTCCCGTGCGGACACTGCTATCATGAGGCGTGTCTGCGGCGGTGGTTNGCTACGATGATATGACGCCACAGCAAAACTGTAAGCAGCTCCCGTGCGGACACTGCTATCATGAGGCGTGTCTGCGGCGGTGGTTTGAAAGAATGTCGACGTGCCCGTATTGCAGAGCCGATCTCCTACAGCAGAGGCGTACGACGGCCACTACCGCTGCCGCTGCCGCCGCTGCTGCTGCTGCTGCTGCGACGGAGCGTATTAATGCAGCTGTTGCCCCTCCCATGCATGAGGTACGTGAAAACATGGAGTATCCCCCTAACGTGCGAGAGGCGTGGCATCTGCAACACGAGGAAGAGGCGCGGCAAGCATACGCACAGTACCGCGAGGAACTACGTCGCGCCGAACAGCGGCGTTTAGAGCGCAACTCCCCTACTGACAGGGAACAGCCGCAGACGCAGCTGCAGCAAAAACAGCTGTTGCAAAGTGTACAGCAGGCTATTCATCAGTCTTTACTTGAGTCTCGAAGGGTTCCTTCCGCGACTGAGGCACCCACTGTTGCTGTTGCCGCTGGTACTTTTGCAGCCGCCCCAGACAGAGGTGAAGGAATGCGATGGAATTCAGAATCCCCCGCTGGCGCAGCTCCTGGGTCTGAACGTGCGGGAGCCAACGAACTACGTCGTCTGCAGGCTTATAGGGAGTATGAAGAAGCTGTTAGGGCCGCTACAGAGACGCTGCAGCGGCGGTTGGGAGAAATCGACTCTGTTTTGTAGAAGATCAACAACAACAACAACAACAGAAATACACTTATACTTTAGTGAAGTACCGTCGCAGTTGGAAGAGATCAGTTGAGCTCTTCCGTTTTTGCTTCTGTCGGGTCCTGTTGCTTTTGCACATCTCTTTGTGGGTGAGTGAATATGTGTGTGTTTGTGCGCAAGCTGAGTTGCGACGGGGTGTTGTTTCGCCATTCTCGGCTTGAGGCGTCAAATGGGGGAAATGTCTGCGTGTGTGTGTGTGTGTGTGTTTTGTTTTTTCGCAATCTGTATACGTTGCGTGGGCGGGTGTTGCTGCTGTTTGTGTGCCGATGTCCCTGCAATGTGTGGGGAATTTTGTGCTTTTTT